CGAATAAAATGTAACGAAAAGGGGAGTTGAATTTTGTTAATTCATTGATGAAATGCAGATTTATTGCATTTTAAAAATATATATTGAGATTACCATCCTATAAGTTATATTGAATGAAATGTGGATTGACATGCAATCCACGTTTACGTGGCAAAATATGACATGTAACGGTAGAAACAGTTCAAATTGCCAATATGGTTCAACTGCATCTTTATCAACCATAAAAACATTTTAATATTGTTTCATACCAATCTTGACAAGTTTTTGTAATATGTGAAAGTTTGAACAAGAAAAGTTTGATTTGCGTTTACAAAAAATAGCAATACAACGTTATATTTGAATAAAGTATAGTAATGTAACAACTACAGCTTTCTTTTAAAACAAGAATAAAATATGAACATGCAAATCTGTGATTTAAACAATAAAAATCTAACTAATCGATGTGTGTTTTAGTAGAATCTTCTTGTTGATTAAAATCTTAAAGACAGTCGATACGAACAACCTTCTTTATCACTAGCCGCTACACATTAATCACCGTACTCCCAAGTCATGTTTTATTTTGTTCCTAATGATCATAAATTTTTTTGGTAAAATAGATAAATCAATTATTGGCATTTAGCTAAAAGGAAATTATATTAGCATATACCAACTATAGATCACGAATCCAAAAGGAAGTGTCAGAAGAAAAATGTGAAGCTTGATAGAAACAAACAAGTGAATAAGAAGGACAAAACATGTGAAGCAATGTGTGTATTGGCTTTGAAAATTTCATGACTCTTCTGGCAATATCATAACAAACAAATGATATAGGTCTTGGAACTTGGTAATTTTGTAATTCGGTTACTCCTGAATTCATTTTAAAGTATTGAGAAGATGAGTATGCGCAAAGGGGCTTCTTGGTTAAAGTCCACTAGGGCTCATCTGTATGATCGAAGTTTGAACAGATTCAAAGGCTAATTTATTTCCCTTTAAGATTTTTTTTTGTTTTGTTTATAACATTCGGTAGGTTTTAGTTAGCCGTTACAAAATAAAATCCTTCCTATATAAAGCAGTATATCAACGAGCATCTTCAAAAGCTTGATTCCTCCTATTCAAGCGTTGTGACTTTTGAAACCCATCTTTTAATCTATACAATATTGTAAATAACATGTAAAAAAAAAAAAAAAATAGACAGTACAACACAACGAACACTTGTGTTAATAACATTAATGGGTGTAACATATTAACATAACACTCCAA